ATTAGTGAAAATACGAGAAAATGCAAGATCCGAGAGGTCATCGAAATACTGACCGAGAGAAATCTAATGAACAGGAGACTTGAAAAAGGCAGGATCAGCGAAAACTTTGCATATTGCCTAAACAAACTCGAAGAAGACCAGGCAACAGTAAGATCAGCAAAAAGAAGATGACTGGATCAAGGTAATATCTTTACTTTTATAAAAAGAAATCGCAGGGGATGAGAAAGGAACAATCAGAAGTAAAGAGAAGACGTCTTCAGTGAGCCTAATCAAAAGAAGTAGAACCACGACATTTGTGGGTTGGAATACAAGAGACTAGGACGTAGCAAGTGATGGACATGGTATCACAGATAGAAACAGGAAAGACGCGGTGGATACTAAAGCTATTTGGCTAACAATGGACGTGTTTTTTCATAAACGTGATCCTTGAATCACGACTATTGTTAGCCGACCGGCTCTAGCGTCCACTGTTTCTATCCTCTTTCTATCTATGATACCAAGTCTATGACTTTCTATGCCCTAGTCTCTTGTGTGTTAACCCAAAAATGTTGTGATTCAACATTGAAGCAAATCAAAACAAGCTGTACCACAACATTTGTTGGTTGGCACACGAGAGACTAGGGAATTGCTAGTCATAGACTTGGTATTAGGGATAGAAACAGGATAGATGCGGCGGGGGCCGGAGCTATTTGGCTATCACTGGGTCTGTTGTACCAGAGACGTGGTACATTTAGCAAAAGGGTGACCATGGCACTCAGAGGCTTGTGCCTCGATTTATTTACCCAGACGCAGAGGAGGGCGAATAACTCCTCGAATAGAGCAGATGTGGTGGCAGGAGTCGAGTGAAATAGGTGAACGAGGGAGAGAGCAGATGGATTTTGCGGAATGAGAGAGAGACTGGAATAAGACTAGGAAGGAGGACTATATAATAATAAAGCAGACTCTGATCCACATCCCTGCACAAGGATCTAATGGGAGGGGGAGAACGAGAGTTGGAGTGTGAAGGTGTCATGTCGCTCAAAGGAGCACACCACACTATATCTAAATGAACAGGGTAAAATTGTAATAGTGAAGACATGATAGGATGCTACCGGAAACGCGAATAACCCAGAGCAGAAGGGGAGATACCACAAATGTTTAGCACACGTTTGGCCAAAGAATCGGCTTCACTTGTCTCTTTGACGAGTTGTTGTGTGGTGCTAAGAATGGCGATACTCACAGACGATGCCGGCGAAACGTTTGGGAATGTACAAAGTCAATTGTCCAATGCTGGAAACCACGAATACTATGGCAGGTTACACAAGATTACATGCGTTCCACACGGTCTCCCTGACGCTTCGACCAAGTTGTGAAAATAAGGTCGAAAAAATACTATAAATCAACGGTATGAGGACCAAGATGGTGTGGCCTTTTGTGTGGTCGCAGTCTCATTTCGTTGTAGAGAAGTTGATTGAACTCGTTTTC